ATCCTTGATTACAGCAACTCTAGGTTTGAATCTGTTCTTCAGTTCCTTGAGGTTAAGAAATGCTGAGTGAGTTCGGCCCTTTTGATTTTCTGACTCTAGTTCCTCGCACATTTCATTGTAGTATTTTGCTTTGTCATTCTGAGCAGCCTTTTGGATTCCTGTGCTAACCATAAAAATCAATTGTCATCATTTCTAAAGAACTACTTTTAGCCAGGATGCTCTTTAGAGACAGGGATGGTGAGATTTCATCTCACATACTTTGGGCATGTTGTCAAGAGAGGCCAGTCCTTGGAAAAGGACATCAGGCTTGGAAAGTGGAGGGTCAGTGCAGGAGAGGAAGACCCTCAACGAGATGAATGCACACAGTGGTTGCAGCAGTGGACTTACGCACAGCAGCAGGATCAGGCAAGGCTTTAACCTGTTTGTTGTGCACGGATGAGTTGACGTTGATTTGGTAGCATCCAAGCATTCTCCAGCCAAAAGATCCATATTTGCTTGAGGATATTAATATAGATTTCAAATATAATATCACTTTCACCCATTTATGTCCACAAAATCTGTAATTGTTAAAGCCTCTTCTGTTTTTCTTGTCTTTATAAAAACACAATGCCATTATTAACCTTACCAAAGCTAACAGTTCCATAACAGCATCTAATATCATATTAAAATTTCCCATATTAGCAAGGGGGAAAATGTGTCTTTTTTATCAATTTATTTGAATCAACAAAAGTAACCCAAAAGGCCACTGAATTATACACATAAAATATTTGAAACTGCAAATATGCTGTTAAATGTATTTTACTACACACACACACACACACACACACACACACACACACACTAAAGGCCTAGTCAGTGCATCTAGTTTCTTTATCTTTTAATTCCCTAATTTGTAATAAAAACTCTATTTTTAATTTACATATAATTAGGAGTTTATAAAATGAAGGTCAGTTTACAAAATGTCCTAATTGGCTTTAGTGTCAGTTTTATTTTAATCTATTTATTTTGGCATGTTTCCAATATAGAAGTATTATTGAAGGCTATTTCCCATGGCTGTGCAGTGGCATGGTGCTCCTATTAGCGAGGTCAGAATCAGACATTCAGTGATTTTTTTAAAATATAATTGCATTCTGCCTATTTACTTATGCAACTAATCAAAGCTTGGAGACTTTTGTTTGCTAGATTTATGCATATTTTTGACTCCTGCTTGCTAGATTAATTATTATGAATTCTTACTGTAGAGAACAATGGTCGTGAAATTCAGTACTGGTAACTAAGTTGAGTGAGAATATACATGTCAATGTGAAAATAAAACCCCTTACTTCTCTGGAGTTGATTTCAACTCATAGCATTCTTCCCTCAGGTTCCTATGGCTGTATAGCTTTCAGTTAGCCCAACACATAAGACATTATAGCTCAATTAAATAGGTATTATTTTAGAAATACTTTCAAGCAATTTATTTCAAGTGATAGTTGTTGTTATGAGCAGTTGAGTCAGAACTGACTCATTGCTGACTCTCCAGTGGGTCTCCAGAGGTTATAAATTGCATGAGAGGAGATTGCCCATCTTTCTCCTGTGGGGCAGCTAGTGGGTTCAAACTTGCTTTGGGGTTGGCTGATGCAATTCCTTAACCCCAGGCCACAGAGCTTCCTCGAGTAACAATTGTTGTGTTGCCGTGTACCACTGTGTTGGAGCCGACCCATAGCTGCCCCTCCAGGGGGTTTCCAGGGTTTCCAATAAATCTCAGAGGAGGAGAGTGCCCATTGTTTTCTCGCAAAGCAACTGGTGTATTCGACCTTTGTGTTGGCAGCACAACTCCTTACCGTTAAGCCACCAGCAACCTCCAAGGGACAATCGTGTGGGCAAAAATAGTTTCCTGAAGCGCAGAATTTCTTGCTCAGATAGAAATCAAATTCAGATTTTTGTTTGTTTGTTTTTAGTTTTTTCTTTCTACTCCAACAACTAGGCACAGATGTTTCCTGAATCATGTTTCTTCTCTTCATAAACCACCTCCAAACACATTGCTATTGAGTTAAATCCAATACAGAGTGACTCCATAGGACTGAGTAGAACTGCCCCCTAGGTTTCCGAGGTTCTAAATCATTACAAAAGCAGACGGCTACATCTTTCTTCAGCAAGTGGTTAGTGGGTTTGAACCTTTCAGTTAATAGCTAAATGCTTTTAACAATTGTACTATCAAGGTTCTCCTTTCAAAGACACTAATATTTATTGGGTGTCTGCTATATGTCAGATGTGTTATAAATTGTTGTTGTTAGGTGCTGTCAAAGCGAATACTAATCATAACAACACTATGAACATCAGATCAGAATCCTGTGCTTTCCTCACCATCAAGATATACTTGAAGTCATTGGGATCTTCCTCTCTTTCACTGACCCTCTACTTTTCTCATTTTATTCTTACATTGGCCTGTAGAGGTAGAGCTCCATTTCATAGTTTTGAAACCCAAGTTCAGAGAAGTTTGGTGAGGACTGAGGACTCTAAAGGTCATGCTTTTCCCAGTGCACACTCTGCTCATGGGATTGTCCTTTAGTGACGAGGTTGAGAGAGGCAAAAGGCAACAACAAAGAGGGTTGCAGAACATTTAAGCTGGGTCCATACCTGCTCCATGGAATCCCCCGCAGATATACAGTTTCCCGTCCACCGCTCCGGCGTTAGTAGAGTTGGTTCGGAGGGAGAGGAGGGGAGTTGGCATGGGAGGGCCCTCTCTCCAAAAATCCCCATCAGGGTTGTAGATTTCCACAGCATCAAGGCACTTTCGAACCTGGCCCCTGTCTTTGCCTTCACAGCCAATCCCACCTGTAAAGAATGATAGACAGATAGGAAGATGATCAAGAATCTTTCCTCTGTGGTGGATAGCGACGTCCGCATGGGATCCCCTGCTACCGGCTCCACCATGATTGTATTGCAGGTGTAAGGGCCTTTGACTTTTCCTGCCTGTCTAAGATCATTTCTAAGCAAACATGATGTTTATTCTGTACTCCATAAGAAAATTGAATATTCTTTTTGCTCACAGCGTCTCTTCTGCTTGCACTTCTGTATGTGACTGATTCCATTGCGACCCATAATCCCACAATATCAAACGCTGACTCACAGAATGGGCATCCTGCTCTGGTAATTACTTCCCTGTGCATCATTAGGAATATTTGACTCTCTCTCTTCCTAAGTTGCATGCATCTTTCACAATTAGAGATGGACCTTTGTTTTGAGGGAGGTGTGCTGGTAAATTTTGGGCTTGAGGTCAAAGAAATACCCAAACAGAAAAACCCAGTACATCTTTTTCTTTTATTCTTTCTTTTTTTTTTTTTTGGAAGTAGGAGAGGGAAGAATGGTACACTTATTCAACAGCTATTGATTGATTGCTGCACAAAATATCTAAGTGACAAGGAGTTTAGACATAAAATTAAGGCATATCTTAAATGAGATACTACTAAGATTCCTAAGTCTAGAGATTCACAAGTAACAGAGATAACATTTGAATAATTACGACCTTAGGTACCACCTTTCAGGAAAAAAATTATGCAAGAATCTCCTATCTAATAAATTCTTAGGTGCTCTTTTTTCTTTCTTCTTATTGATTTCATGCTTATAGAAAAAATTGATTTGACATCCAGTCATTCACACACACTTTGTTTTATGGCATTAATTATAATACCCACATGAAACCACAACTTCCCAACTCCTCCCAGTGATTCTTATTTCCATTAATCCCTTTATCCTACCCTTTCTGGCCTCTTGAGTTTTATTCTTGGGAAAATATTGCCTTTTGATCTTCTGTGGTTGATTATTCTAAGGCGTGTGTACTTCTTGGTCTTTCTTTTCACCTTACAGAAGGTCCATTGTTTGGGTAGAAGCTAAGCTACAGGAGTGAATTTAGTTTTAGGATCAAAGAGTGAATAAAGGTCATGGTCTAGGGAGTTCCAATAGTGTCTATCAGACCACCAAGCTGGGAAACTTTTATGGCTTTGAGTTTTGTTCCACATTTTTGTCTCACTCTGTATAGGATCTACTATGATTTCTTTTAGATGTGTCAACAGTGAGAGTTGGGCACCACCTATTTCTTCTGGTCTCAGAGTTGTGGAGTGTGAGGTTTCTTTGGCTCATTAGTCCTTCGGACTAATTGTTTCCATGCATTTTTGTTTTCTTCATTCTATTTTTGTCTAGACAGAGAGGCAAATAGTTGAAGCTAACTATTTGCAAAACTTTAAGACCCCAGTTACTACTCAGCAAACTCAGATGTAGAACATTGTATTAGGGGATTGATGCGATGTCAGTTGACTTTTATATTCCTAGAAACTGTAGTCCTGAAGCTTTAGTGGTGTAGTCTCTAGTGTGTTGTGCTGTTAATCCATAAGCTACACTTCTCTAGAAATTAAAATCCACCAGAAGTTTATAGAAAGAAAGGTGGACTAGTATAGCTTCCATTTGTTAAGTTTTATAGCCTCGAACGGTAACTGTGAGTCAGAATCAACTTGATGGCAGTGAGTTGACCAGCATATTAGGTTGTTTGTTTATCATTTAGAAATTTACATAACTTTGCCTCCTGTTGGCTCTATTATATACATGATGGACTTATATGTACATTAGCACATACAATATAAATATAGAAGTACCGTCTGCCAAATCTATTTATGGTCATGATTTAGTCCCTTTTACCTTTGCTGTCAGGGACTTCTCCAGAGTGCTAAAGAACAATGATGCCAGTCTAGAGACCAAGGTGTGCCTGATCCAGGCCAGAGTCTTCTCAATTGCTTGCTATGCATCTGAAACCTAGACAATTACTAAGGATGACAGAAGAATTCTTGATATCTTTGCGTTGTGGTAGTGGAAAAGAATATTTAACATACCATGGACTGCCAAGAGAATAATTGCCTTGGAGAGGATGAAATCAGATTGCTCCTTGAAGGCAAGAATTTTGAAGCTCTGTCTCAAATACTTTAGGCATGTTTTTAGGAAGGACCAGTCCTTGGAGAAGGATGTAATGCTAGTGAGGGTAGAAGGTGAGCACTAGAGAGGAAGACTCTAGATGAGATGAATTGACCTAATGACTGTTGCAATGGGGTTAGATGTGTTAGAGATGGTAAAGTTGGCTCATCACAGGGCATAGTTCAAAGTTGTTATTCATAGAGTTATGAGTCATGAGTTGTTATGAGTTGTAGTTGACTTGATGGCACACAACAACAACAACAACAATTGCTGGTGGGGGAAGCTCTTATAGTACACTCTGTAAGGAGTTGCATTGCTGACTCAAAGGTGTGTGCCTCTCTGGCAGCTCCAATTCACCAGTGGATCCTCAGAATAAAGATGGAAAATCTCCTCCCATGTGATTTACAGCCTCACTTGAGGGTCAGCTTTGAGTTGGTTTTAACTCAATTGGGATTAATATTACTTTTTTAGTTGATAGCTCAGGATTAGAGGAACAGTCATCAACAACCTGCATTAAGCAGATGATACCACAGTGCTTGTGCAAAGTGAAGATTTGAAGCACTTACTAAAGAATATCAATGACTGAGTTGGTGGACTTGGTCCCTGGACTGCACTGCAGACCACTGAGGACAATAATAGACTTTAGGAGACCTCTCTCTCTGCAATCAAGTAAGAAATCACTTCCCAGAAAGGGTGCATTGAGGTGCAGAGAGGGAGCCACTTAAACTCCTCTGTAGAGAAACTGCGTCAATTGGGGCACCTGGTTCTTGGACCACACCACAGATCACCTAGGATAAGAATAGACGGGAGGAGAGGGAGCCTCTAATCAGGTGAGTGACTCTGTCTCAGAGAGGACACATTGAGGTTTAGGGAGGAAGCTATTTGTGACTCCCCTGCAAAGAAATTGCATCAGTTGAGTTACTGGGCTGCACTGCAGACCACCGAGAAAATAACAGACTCTAGGAGAGGTGAGTCACACTCAGGCAAAATTACTATAGGTCTATACTTCCCACAGGCTAGAGAAGACTTGAAGGACTTAGGAAAGGCAAACTTTCCCTCTACATAGAATCAGAAAGGACTTCCAGTAGAGTTGCCCTCCCCCATAAATGTTTCACTTTAAGCCTCCAACTAATGGTCTCCAACTAATGAATAGCTTTATAGAGTTAAAGAACTATCACCAACCTATGCAGACACAACAGAAACTGCCTAACACATTATGTGAAGAAAAATGTCACATAATGTCAAGAAAGCAGCAGATAGCCTCAAACATTGTGAAAAAACAAAACAAGTCTTCTCCCCAAAAAAAGCAGAACATATTGCAGACCCAAAAAATATCACAGAGATAAGGAAACAGAAGAAATATATTGATGAAAAAGTATGAACAGACACAGAATAAGGGACAAATAATGTAAGGGAAAAAAATGGAAGCCATAAATAAAAAAAAAAAAACCCAACAAAAAATCTCAAAGATAGAGAGCCAGAAGAATTATACTGATATGGAGGAGCATGAAAAACTACTAAAGAAATTGCAAAATAAAGAAATAATTGAAATTACAGATAAACAGTAAGTTTTAAAAATAATCACAAGACAAGATGGTACAGTCAACACAATACAAGAAAGAACAGAAATGCTTGAAAATACATTCCAGACTTAAGTGGTAGAAGTTTTCAACATACTAGAGGGACAAAGAAAAAATAAAAAAAAGCAGAATAGAAGAGATGTAACAAAGAGTCAGTGAATCAGAAGGCAATGGGAGCATACTAGAAGAAAAAACAGAGGAGACAGAAGAAAAATTAAGACAACACTAGATTAATATGGAGTAATAACAAAAAGAACAACATATTTATGATTGAAATTCCAGAACATGGTGGGTAGTGGGAACAACAAAAGCACTTAGAATACTAGAAGAAAACTTGCCAGGTACCATGAAAAAATGAGGAAATCCATATTCAGGAAGTTCAGCGAAGCACAAATAAACTACATGGCAAAAGAAAAATATCAAGACATATCATAGTAAAACTTTCCAAAATAAAAGATAAGGATAGGATACTAAAAGCAATGTGAGAAAAACAAAGTATCACCTTTAAAGGAGAGCAAAGTAAATTAGATTAAGTTCTGATTTCTCAGCAGAAACCACGTGAGCAAGAAGACAATGGCATATAGAGAAGGCTAAAAGGAAACAACTGCCAGCACAGGATCCTGTACCCCATAAAACTGTCTATTAAATACAAAGGAGAAATTAGGTCATTTGTAGAAAAATAGAAACTGAAGGGATTTGTAGAAACAAGACTAACTCAAGAAATTTTATGAAATAAATTATAGACATATACAATACATAACACAATGGTTAACAGACTTGAAGAAATAGACAGCATCACAATAATGGTAGGAGACTTTAACATATCATATATAATCAACCAACTTTAACTTGTGGATATATTCACGGTACTGCACCCAACTAAAACTCAATTTACTTTCTTTTCAAATGCATTTTCAAGGGTATATTTTCCTGAATCGATCATATGTTAGGATACAAAGCAAGCCAATTAAAAAAAACAATTAAAAAGATTGAAATAATACAAAATATCTTTTTAGACCACAACGCCATAACACCAGAAATTAATGTCAAGAGGATGAATCTTATAAAACCACTCCACATGGAAGCTAAATAATACCATGCTAGAACACTAACGGGTTATAGAAGAAATAAAAAAGGAATTTAAAAAGTTCCTTGAAACAAACAAAAATGAAAATACAGCATATCAAAACCTTTGAGATATAGTTAAGGCATGTCTCAGGAAGAAGTTCATAGCAATAGGTAAACACATAAAAAAGAAAAAAAAGAAGCAACATTAATAAGCTTAATAAAGCT